ATTTTTTAGATTAATCCTTTGTCTGTTGCTTCATTTGCTATTATTTTCTCCCAATCTGAGGGCTGTCTTTTCACCTTGCTTATAGTTTCCTTTGTTGTGCAAAAGCTTTTAAGTTTCATTAGGTCCCATTTGTTTATTTTTGCTTTCATTTCCAATATTCTGGGAGGTAGGTCATAGAGGATCCTGCTGTGATTTATGTCAGAGAGTGTTTTGCCTATATTCTCCTCTAGGAGTTTTATAGTTTCTGGTCTTACATTTAGATCTTTAATCCATTTTGAGTTTATTTTTGGTATGGTGTTAGAAAGTGTTCTAGTTGCATTCTTTTACAGGTGGTTGACCAGTTTTCCCAGCACCACTTGTTAAAAAGGTTGCCTTTTCTCCATTGTATATTCTTGCCTCCTTTGTCGAAGATAAGGTGTCCATAGGTACATGGATTTATCTCTGGGCTTTCTATTTTGTTCCATTGATCTATATTTCTGTCTTTGTGCCAGTACCATTCTGTCTTGATGACTGTGGCTTTGCAGTAGAGCCTGAAGTCAGGCAGGCTGATTCCTCCAGTTCCATTCTTCTTTCTCAAGATTGCTTTGGCTATTTGAGGTTTTTTGTATTTCCATACAAATTGTGAAATTATTTGTTCTAGTTCTGTGAAGAATACCGTTGGTAGCTTGATAGGGATTCTGTTGAATCTATAGATTGCTTGGGATAGTATACTCATTTTCACAATATTGATTCTTCCAATTCATGAACATGGTGTATTTCCCCATCTGTTTGTGTCCTCTTTGATTTCTTTCATCAGTGTTTTATAGTTTTCTATGTATAGGTCTTTTGTTTCTTTAGGTGGATATACTCCTAAGTATTTTATTCTTTTTGTTGCAATTGTGAATGGTATTGTTTCCTTAATTTCTCTTTCTGTTTTCTCATTGTTAGTGTATAGGAATGCAAGGGATTTCTGTGTGTTAATTTTACATCCTGCAACTTTACTATATTCATTGATTAGCTCTAGTAATTTTCTAGTAGAGTCTTTAGGGTTTTCTATGTAGAAGATCATGTCATCTGCAAACAGTGAGTTTCACTTTTTCTTTTCCTATCTGGATTCCTTTTATTTCTTTTTCTGCTCTGATTGCTGTGGCCAAAAACTTCCAAAACTATGTTGAATAGTAGTGGTGAGGGTGGGCACCCTTGTCTTGTTCCTGATTTTAGGGGAAATGCTTTCAATTTTTCACTATTGAGGATAATGTTTGCTGTGGGTTTGTCATATATAGCTTTTATTATGTTGAGGTATGTTCCTTCTATTCCTGCTTTCTGGAGAGTTTTTGTCAGAAATGAATGTTGAATTTTGTCAAAGGCTTTTTCTGCATCTATTGAGATAATCATATGGTTTTTATCTTTCAATTTGTTAATGTGGTGTATTACATTGATTGATTTGCGGATATTAAAAAATCCTTGCATTCCTGGGATAAAGCCCACTTGGTCATGATGTATGATTTTTTTAATATGTTGTTGGACTCTGTTTGCTAGAATTTTGTTAAGGATTTTTGCATCTATGTTCATCAGTGATATTGGCCTGTAGTTTTCTTTTTTTGTGGCAAAAATATGGAATGCTTCATGAATTTGTGTGTCATCCTTGTGCAGGGGCCATGCTAATTTTCTCTGTATCATTCCAATTTTAGTATATGTGCTGCCAAAGTGAGCACTACTGGTAAGTTTTTATTAATGTTAAGAAAGTACATATATCATTCTTGAAAACAGTATTATGTCTTTGGTTTCCCCTGATGAATACCTTTCTAATATACATTGAATTGATTACCAGTATGGTATTTTGGGAAAGCTTACCACTCTAATTTCATCAAAATCTACACAGATCACATTATTTATAAAACTTAAAATGGCAGCTAAAATTTGTTTAACTTAACTTTAGAAGTACTGCTCTTCATGCCTCTGATAAGACTGATGAAAACTAATAATGTTACTGAGGTTTTCATTTCAAACCCATCTTTTGGAGAAAGTAACAAGATAGAATATCTCCAGTTTCTTTAATTACATTAGAAATATTTGGCAGGGGTACATCCCTGAAGATACAAAATAAATAAATAAATAAAAGTCAGATGAGCTGTTTTTAATCATTTTTTGATAACAATATCAACAAGATAGGTGGTTAAATGGGTTCAGGAACCTTGTGAATATGCCCTTCTGACCTAAATGCTTCTTAACATAGATTTCATATTGAGTTGGCCTTCTTAGAAATCTAATTTTGTTTCATTGTTTTGAATTAACAATGATATCACCCTAAACTCTTAAATCACTCTTTAAAACTGAAGGAGGACCAAACAGAACTAGTATTTTCTGAACTGGCTCTTCAACAGAGCCCTTTACATATCATACCTAATTTATCACTTGCAAGAGCTCTCTGAGGTTGATTTCATTACCCCAATTTTACATATGGAAAAGAAAAAAAAACAGATTTGGAGATATGTATAACTTGTCCAAGGTTATCCAGGCAACATGTGGCAAAAGAAGCCTTTTATCCCTGGCCCGACTCCCAACTCCTTTTCTGACCTGTGTGACAGTGGAGGATATTATGAGAAATTATTTTTTCCTGTTTCATGATCATTGAACTTGGGGGTGAAAGAAAAGACCACTGCCCCCAGAATACTCTTCCCCTTGGAACTCTCAGTTATTCTGAGGTGGAAATTTAGTCAGCTAGTCACAAGGAATCTCTTCTCAGCCTGCTTATTCACATCTCCAAAGGTATAAAGGACAGTCAGCCTCTAAAAGAAAAATGATTCCATCTGGCCCATTGATCAGTGTTCTAATAAAAAGTCTGACCAGAAAGGAGGTAGAAATTAAAAGCTTTGAACTGTAACTGTCCCAGTTTCTTGGTTCTCTAACAGACATCAGAAAGTTGACTTGATTTAGGTGAAAACATAAAAAAAAAAGTCAAGGTGCTGATATGTATTGTTTCTAGGAAAATCAGATACACACGTGACAACACATTTTGTTTTAAATTAGTAAGTCATTAATATAGTGCAAAGAGACATTTCACATTATGAAAAGGTAATTCTGTTAAACTCTCTACAAATGAATTTCATTTTACTGAAGTCTTATGGAAGACACAGTTTTGTATTTCACGGAGATGCTGTGGCCTCACCTACTGAACCAAGACACGTTCTTGGTTTCCTGTGTTTTTCAAGACCCACAATTAAATTTCATATCGTAGGGACAACAAATGTATTATTCTAAGTGACTTGACTCTAGGGGAATATCAACTACTTCACAGGTAGAATACAAATATCATTCTCACTTTAAATCTGAGTAAACAGTCTTAAAGACTTTCTAAATCCTATTATACGTACAAACTTTGCATGTAAAGGTTGAGCCGAGGAGGCAGAGGAGTGTAAGTAAACACACCCTTCTCCCATAAGTACACAGTATTGAATGAAGGAGAAAGGGGCTTTCTACTCTATTCCCTCAATCCCTCAATCAAAGACCTTTTAAAAGAAAAGGCAGAGTTAAAATAATAACCTCAGCTCCACGATGAGGAACTTCTGTATTTGAATTTCATTGAATTATAGAGTGAGATAGCGTCTCCTGAGGGCCTGTAAAGTGGCAGCCACCTCCCCAGACCACCACGACCACCCTCTAACCCACACCATTTACAGAAATTCAAAGTTTCTTCAGGTCAAAACAGTGGAGTCCCAGGGTCTCAGTTTTTCTCTCCCACAAGAGCACAGGATCCTTTGATCTGAAATCTAACGATAATCTATTTTGACCTATATTTTAAAAATTTCATTTAAAATCTTGACACAATAACCAGAGAGTGACCTTTAAGAAGGAGGCAGTAGATTGTAACAAAAAGAGTGGACTGGGGAGTTTGATTCTTCAGTCTCATTTTCTTCATCTACAAAATGGGAATCAGTACATGGATTCTGTGAGAACTGGAAATGATCAAAGCCTTGGCACAGTTCCTCGTGCACGGCAGTGCTCACTAAGTGGTTGTTATTATGGCTGTGATAGTCGTTGTGTAAGCAGAAGTTCTTATAAAGCCTCCCGATAAAATGGCCTTGCTGGTAATTACAGACATGTAGCTTCTTCATCTCTTATCAATCTTAAACCATCTTAGAAAAGCACTTTTGGTATTGGCATATGTTTATACATTTGAATTAAAATGTAAAACCTCACTCAGTTCTTACTTAAGCATTGACCTATTGCAATTTAATATCAGATGACTGTTGCCATCCTACAAAGAGATGCGGCACAGCTGGGGCTCTGGAGGCACAATTCAGTAAAAGAACTAAGTGATGGGGCAGAGCCTGTGTGAGATGACGAAGATGCTTCAGGTACTTTGCAAAGAAAAGACAGCTTCCTGACCCAACAAAGGCAAACACTTTATCTTAACTGATTCTAACCCATAAAGAACCTGACAAACAGTTCCTACATTCCTTCTAGAAAGCAAAGAATTCAAGATATGGAGACAAATAACCTTCCACTGCAATTTCAGGAAAAAATATTCTTCTAGGCCCCCAAGACAGTAGTGATAGCTGAGTAAAGACATGAAAGCGTTGATGTACTAGCTACCTTATAGCCAAAGAAGAAATGTGTTTGCTACAGGCTTGTTTCCTCTCTCTGGCCTTCTGCTTCTAAGCTGGCCATCAGGCATCTATTGTCTTCCTGCCCCTCTTGAGTCTTGAGACCATCTGCCCCCACACTCACTCCAAAAGAAATCATAGTGGGGTTTAGTTTCCCTAGCATCCCAGTTCTTCTGCAATTCTAGACTGGAAACCACGGGAGCATCGCCATCATGACAAGGAAGCTATAGGAAAGGCTGTTGGAAACCCAATTTCCAGGTCTGCAAGAAATACGTGACATTTTAAAGGCATTCTACAAGGTCCTAATAACCGTTGAGAGAATACTTTAACATTTAAACTTCAACAACTTATCCACCAGCCCTGACGCGAGTTAACTACAATTTTCCAGAAAATCATGAGGAATAGCTTGCTTACGTTACTCTGGTGCTTATTGACCTCCATGGCGTGCTTGATCTCAGGCGGCTCCTTCATGTGAGCATAATCTGAGACTCCTTTGGCAGCATCATGCTTCTGCCTGTAGGCAATCTGAAGAAAAAAACAAATAACTGTTAGTTTCATTTGGAGGTGTATGAAATTTCTTACCCGTTAAATTTCAGTGTTTTGCTAGGATTTTACGTAGTATTTGGTCAAATTTGCCTAAGCCTTTATAACGAAATAATAAATACAATACTTTAATCTTTGTGCTTCTGTTTGGACTCCTAATTCCAACTCAAGTCACTCATTTCAGAAGTTTTTGTCCACATGCTAAAATCCCCATTTGTATTCCTCTAGCTTAAATCTCATCTACAGTTTTGGGAAATCTTTCCAAACCAAGAGGTTTTAGGGTAATATATGTTCAAGGTTTAAATCCTGGAAAAGTAAGTGACAAAACTGGGGAAACAATTGGATATCTAAAAGTGAACTGTTCATTTTTTAATTGACTGTTATAATTTTATGGAGGCACAACTATAATATTAAATAAACCTTATTAAAAGCCCTAACCTTTGGGAGAGAATATAATGAAAGTCTCACATATGTCAAGCCTTGTTCTCTGTTAGACAAATAAGCACCTTCGCAATGACACCCGTCAGTACCACGTTAAATGTGCCCCACACGTGGTTGGAGAGAAGGTGTGAGAATAATCAGAAGTACTTCAGAGGTAGAAATAACCAAACTCAAAAACAGAGTTAAAAATTAAAGGAGATCCCTATGACAAAATTATCCCCTTCCAGGGAGTCTATTCCTATATTATCCTGTTTATTTCCTTCATAAGTTTAAATTACAAGCTTTCATCTTTGTAAATTTCTGTCTTCTCTTACTGGAATGCAACTGTCTAATTCACTAAATCCTTATCACCCAGAATAGTGCTTGACATAAACTGCAATAAACATTTACTCAGTGAGTGAATAAATTAATAAATAAGTGAATAAATTAATGAGAATAAAACAAGAATAAATTAATTAATTACTTTTAAATGAAAATATATGTTAAAAGTTTAATGATAAGATGCTAAATGGAATTGGAATTACTTGGTGCAAAATGTGTGTGTTTAATACAACTATTCAAGTTCAAAACTCTTTTCTGACTTCCTCACCCAAGTTTGTTTTTTTTTTTTTAACTTCCAGTGAAAGAGAAATCAACCTGGGCATCACAGTTTCTAAATTTTGAAGGTTCTGACACAAAGTTCCTCCTTTAATGAAACTCAAATCTATCTCCCCAGCAATGCAACCATTTGGCCATACAGGAGGATTCCAGTTAACAGGACAGAACTCTAAATGTGGGAATCCAGCTCTCAGTGATTTCCACTCCCAGACTATCTGTGCAGATTAAGGCACTAAACCCCTGTATACTCTACACACTCTCAAAAGTACAAATTCCAGCTGTTCCACCTCTTTGCTAAGGTGTCCACAATGTACCAGATATGGCCTGACTGGTCCTAATTAGAATTCTTCAATTTAATCTAGGTTATCATCTCTAATGTGCTATATGCTGTTAGTACATCCATAGATCATGCCAATTTCCTTTGAATTACTATGTTGATATTTCTGTCAACGAATGCCCCTAAGTCTTGCTCACTCCTGCTTAGCTCTGTTCCTACATCTGATTATTAAGCCTCCCATATAGCACCTCATGTTATTCCAGGGATAATTCATCATGCTAGAATCTGTTCCCTGATTTAATCCATCAGGAAATCTAATTTTGATGAACATATCTTTAAAATGTTCACCAATTAATTATGTTAAACAGAAACCCATTAAGAACCTCCATTCAGGCTGAGAAAGCCCATCACCCCAGTTTCATTACATTCTATAACTTGGTGGGGGGAGGAGTTTAATGGGTGGCCAAGTCTCTTAAGCCAAGGAACAACTTGTGAGATCTGCTGTAAGTAAAAAGAACTAGCATATGCCTGTCTCCTTTCTGCTGGATGCCAGGTTGATTCTGTGTTTTTGACTGGGGCACTTGTGACATTATAAACATAACCAATGAGGCTGGTCATTTTGTGGGTTATCATAGAAGTAGTGAGTCATCAGGCACAATTTTAAAGAGCACTCTTTCTTAAAAAGGCTATGTAATTTTCTACTTGCTGCATTAAAATAGTCATTTCATTTATAGCTGATACTAAGCACCAATTTAGAATTAAGATTACATCAAATTGGAGGCAGCTGAACTTTAATTTATCATATTAATTTTCATCCTTAAAATAGCTAATGGAAACGTACATTGAGCTAATAAATTTTCTAATAAATTTGATTTCTTAGGATGTATCATTATTGTGTAGCATTTCCCTAGGTTAACACTGTGTTCTTCATAGCTTGTGAGTTAAGGCTGCTATGGCACTGGACACCTAACTAGGGGAAGATATTTGCAGTAGTCTTATATAAACTATATGTAAATATGTTTACACAAGGAATATATAAACTTATATATTTCATCATATATGTTCATATCTCATCTCTACATATAAAAGATGTATTATATTTCTGATTTGCAGTATATTTCATAACTACTATACAGGTACTGAAGTGAAAGTGGCTCAGTCTTGTCCAGTTATTTGTGACCCCGTGGACTATACAGTCCATGGTATTTTCCAGCCACTGGAGTGGATAGCCTTTCCCTTCTCCAGGGGATCCTCCCAACCCAGGGATCAAACCAAGGTCTCCCCCATTGCAGGCAGATTCTTACCAGCTGAGCCACAAGGGAAACCCAAGAACACTGGAGTGGGTAGTCTATCCCTCCTCCAGAGGATCTTCCTGACCCAGAAATCTAACTGGGGTCTCCTGCACTGCAGGCAGACTCTACCAACTGAGCTATCAGGGAAGCCAATCCCATAACACAGGCAACCCTGAAGCTACGGAAACAGGACCTTGTGGCCACTGTAGATACAAACATAGGCTCTCATAAATCGCCGTTCAGATGCCTGAGCAGCCTGTATCACTTCTATGATAAGGGATTATTTAGCCTCAGCATGAGACAGCCCCTGTGAGAAGGGTCTCACCACTTCATGGCACAGTCCATCCATTTCCAGAACCTTTCTTTGTGATCTTTGTAAAATTTTTAGCGAGAGTTATCTAACAATATGTCCTCCTAAAATCTCCACATCTGTCTCTCTTTTTTTAAAGGGATTTCTATGTATCAGTCATTTTCTATAAGGAGCATTAGCCTTGTCACTTCAATCTGAATATAAGCATTTAAGAACATTTGCAAATTGATTTGAAGATAATAATTTGTCCCAATATCAAAAATTTAGGATACTTTTCACTAGAAACTGGAACATGCTCACATTTTAGAATTTGCCTCATATTCTAATTCAGGTTGCCACAAATCTGATTACTATTTGGACACAGTAAAAGGTTAGTTCTTTAATCATCACAGATACTATTAAATTGTTCTACTTTCTTGCCTGTCATTATCAGGTAAGCTCTGAGAATTCCAATTTTAACAATAATAAAATAGATTTAAGTGTATCTAAAGCAATGTTATTACAATTACATAAATCTTTGAAATAGACACCTTCTTCAGAATCCAGGTATTTCCTTTCTAACAAGTTCAAAGGCTAATTATGACCCTGGGCAGTGATGCTTCTTGAGAGCACATATATTTCTTTCTTAGGGTGCATATTCTCCTCTGGAATAATACCTGTTACCAATTAAGTGACAATCTATTCTGGAAAAAAATAGGAACAGATTCCAAAACGTCCAATATGGATTACTTTTTATGTTAAGTTCTATGTACACATAGTTGTGTACTATAGACATGCTTATGCCATAAAAACTTGAGAAAAGTTGTGCACTTGCAAAGCAATTAAGAATGTAAATATCTGAAAATGTTACCTTCCCCAGTAAGTATAAAACTAAGAAAAGATTTTTCTTTTCTTTATTGTATAACTGTTGTTTATTATTATCTCAAAAATCCTGTCAAATATCAAATGTTATAATTATTTGTTTAAAAAGTACTCTGTATGATTAGCAAGTGGCTGGGTTACCAGGTGTTGGTGGGAAAAAAAGGGTGGGCATATTAGTCATGGTCAGCCATGCAGAGTCCTGACATATATTTTTAGCCTCATGTTGCACAGCTGAGATTAGCTTACTGCCAAGCTGGGTACACAGTGGACATCTTAAGTCTGTGATAATGAAGTACTTAAAGATATTCTGCAAAGAATAACTATACTTGGTGTTGTTCAAGAGTAATCTATTTTCAGACTATTTTAAATTATCTACGTATCCTCTACTTAAAAATAAAAGGATTCTGGAGAAAGAGGTGAACTTGTTTAATAAAAAATTTAAAAAGAGGGGTAGAAAAAGTAAGAAAGAGGTGGTAATGGATATAGCTTAGAATCCAGACTCTAGAGCAAATTCACCCATGTTCATATGCTGGCTCTGCTATTTGTCAGCTGTGTGACCTTGGGCAAGTCACCTAGCCTCTCTGTGCTTCAGTTTCCACACCTCCAAAATCAGGCTATCTCATGGAGTTGTGAGCATTAAATGATATAAATATATCTGAAATGAATAGAACAGTACCTGACACATAGTGAGCATTTTTATGTATTTATTATTATTAACCAAAATGTAGCATGAAAAATATAAACTATGTAAAAGGAAACATTTCTTTTAAAAAAAATCAATCAACTGAACAAAAATCCATTTTACAAGTATTTATTGAACACCCCTTGTGTTCTAGGAGTCCCTAGACTCCTAAGCACAGAGATGGAGCAGGGAACAAGACAGATGAGGGTCCTACTCTTATGGATGAATAAAGTAACCAAAAAAAAAAAAAAAATCAGAGTGTACTATGAAGAAAACTTAGCAATAATATGAGTGAGAAAGAGGTGAAATATTCTATTTTGAAATTCTGTTTTAAGGAACACAATAGATTAAGTGCATTAAGGATTCCTTCTGTGTTAATGTGTTCTAAAAGGAAAATTACTCCTAAACTCTCATGGATTCAAAATTAGCTTACATGATGATAGTTCTTAAGTCTGTCTGCAACTTGCAATCATTAAAATAGCCATTTCCACTTGGTGGAGCCTTTTATGGGAGCCTGAGATAGTCTAAGTGAAAACACCATCCATCCACGAGGAAAAAAAAAAAATTCAGGAATCACTTGTTTAGTTGAGGGAGCACAGATCTGTGGATCCTGACTTTCACCATTAATTCTTTATGTGACTTTTAATAAGCTATGGGTATGTTCTCTCACAAGTTAAATCAAAGACTAGTTTAATATTTTCTATAAGATTGTAATCTAAGTAAATTGTCTAAATAAGATTCATATTTGCTCTGTTAGCAGTGGTGAATGGGGACTAGGAAAGACTGTATCATGTAACTAACACACTGGGAGGTCTTTGTCACTATTTGTGACTATCAGTGACCATCACTATCAGTGACTGCTGACAGAACATGAATCAGTTGCTTCCAATGTTTCACTCCATATTTATTATCTAAGATAAACAACACTTTATAAAATGCTAAACAATGTGTATTAGGTATATATTTGATTTACATAATTATATAATAATTTAGGAGAACCATACCTCACTCTGTAGCTGTGTAACTTCTCTGGCAAAGACACTGTCAATTGTGGCTGGCATCTGCTTATACAGAGAATTGGAAAGGTCCGCCTTAATGGTGCCTTTGTATTTTGCCTAGGGGGGAAGAAAGAAAAGAAAAATAAATATGTCTTAGTTTTTCTTTTACTTTGAATATTGAAAGAGAATAAAGAAAAGTACTTTCTTAGGAAACAAATTAGTTGGGATTGACATATATACACTGCTATGTATAAACTAGGTAACTAATGAGAACCTACTGTATAGCTCAGGAACTCTACTCCAGGCTCTGTGGTGACCTAAATGGGAAGGAAATCCAAAAACGAGGGGAGATATGTACATGAATAGCTGATTATTTTGCTGCATGGCAGAAAATAACACAACATTGTAAAGCAACTATCCTCCAATAAAATATTTTTAAATATATAAAGTCAACTTTAATCTCAGATACCGAACCTAATGGTCATATTTGAAGAAATAAATCCAATTTATCATGGTAAAACCTTTAAATCAAACATGCAAGAAAATAACAACTGGAAGAGGGGGGTTGAGGGATGGGAGAAATGGGTGCAAAGCGGTCAAAACGTACAAACTTCCAGTCATAAATCAATACATGGGGACATAAAATCTAGCATGGTGGCTACAGTTAATAAAACTGTATCACATATTTGAAAGTCACCAAGAGAGTAAATCTTAAAAAATAATCATCATAAGGGAAAAAAAAGAAATAAGATGTGTCACTCCATATGATGACAGACTTATTGTGGTGGTCCTTTCACAGTGCATACAAATATGGAGTCCTGAAACTAATATAATATTCCACATCAATTATACCTCAAATGAAAATTTTAATTAAATAATGGTTATTTTTCTACTTAACCTCATGCACATTTCTAAAAGTAATTCTATTTGTGTATCAACAATTTCATATATTTGATCACTGAAAAATATATGAGAATGAGACATTTGAGCTGTTCCAGAAAACACAAGTCATTAGAATTCATCTAGAACCTGAACACAAAGGACAGCCTTCCTTTATTCAAGTCTTCTTAACTTCTTCCACCACAATGGCGGGGTGCTGAGGTGGGGGAGCTTTTTTGCTGTTTTTGCACTTTCCCACATACAATCTGCACTGCCTCTAAATGATCTCAGTCATTACTCATAGAGAGAGACACTCATTCACTATTTCCTCTTGGGAAGATTAGGTTCAAAGGAATGTAACAGATTGCCCTCCTCCTTTTTTTTTTCTCTGTAGTTAACTCCTTCAGGAAAAAGACTCAATTAATAATTAAGAACACCAAGCATTTCTCTGTGAGGGAGAAATAATATTTAATTGCTTACACAAGTAAACAAAACTGTGGCTTACCCCACTCTATCCACAAGTCCCTGACATTACTCCTACTTGGAGCCAGATCTGAGTGTTGATTCACTGAACATATAACTTGTGTAAGCCGTGTGTTCCCATAACTCTTCAGATTTTCATACTTAAAATTTACCAGTTTTCTTCAAAATGCTTTCATGTTGGCAGAAATAATCGCAAGAATATCATGTTGATCTTTTTCCAACAACTTAAGAAACACTAGAGGTCAGTCATCTGCAACACTATCTAATCATCTTCTTTTCATGTTTATCTCTTCAAAATGATCTATTCACCGACACTGGCACTGCCTCATCACAGAAATCACTGTTAACATTGTGCTTTATAAGAAAACATAAGCTGCAGTTCTACATGCGCTCAGAAAAAGATTATATGATTTTTCAGCTGGGAAATGAATGTAGCACATTTCTTACTCTATGGTTTCATAGTAGGTATCTCTGTTGAACTGATCCTAACCAAAAATAGTTCAAACTGATCTGAAGTTACTTACCAAAGATACCACATTTTATGGAATCTGCTGATAAGTTTGACTTATTTTCAAAATGAGATTGGATCATTTATATCTAGTAAGTCTGTTAACAAATAAAATAATGGAACTTCTGAAACTATTTTTCCAGTACTTTCTATTGAATAAAAATATCTCCTTTTAATTTGATGTAAACGAAAAAAGGTTAGTCAATATATATATGATGAAACATATCAACAATAGATAATAAGCTACCAGTTTACATAAGTTAATTGACATAATGCATAGAATTACATAATTATACATTTATTATTAATATCAACATTCAGTGGTATTATCAGAAACATTATTCTCTAATTTTAATACACAAACTTTTATCTACATAAATAGAAAATAATCCAAGCCATTTAAAAGTTTTGATACCTTACCTCAGAAATAAAAGCACCAATGTGTTTTACATGGTTTAGCATAGGCGTGTCAGTCACAAACGTACACTTGTCTTTAGACTTTTTATACTCTTCTTTATAATGGATCTAAAAGACAGAACATTTTACATAAGAGAAAAAAAACAACTGTAATGCTCCCTTTTTGAACAGAAGAATTAGCCTGCGCAAGTCTATTTTCTGAAATAAATACTCCAATGTGGAATGACGCTCAAAACAAGCCAAATCAAATAAACTGATATCCAGCCCAGGACGACAAAGGTGATGAGGCAGGGTAAGAAAAAGCCTGCTCTTTAGATAAGCAAGGGTACAGTTACCATCAAGGATCATGTGTGTTGGACCCACACTGACTGTGGGTCCCATTTGTCCAGCTTCTTCAGCATAATTAAGAAACATTGGTATGACGTATAAAATAGCTAACTCATGAGACTCTACTGTATAACACAGGGAACTCTGCTCAGCGCTCTGTGGTGGCTTAAATGGGAGGGAAATCCAAAAAAGAGGGGATATGGGTATACATACAGCTGCTTCATTTTGCTCTACAGTAGGGAATAACACAACATTGTAATGCAACTATACATCAAAAAAATTAATTAAAAAATAAATTTTTTCTTTATTTTAAAAAGAAGCATTGCATGGGCTTCCCAGGTGGCTCAGTGGTAAGGTAAGAATATTGGAGTGGGTAGCCACTTCCTTCTCCATATGTTCCCAATCCATGGGAAATGCCATAGACAGAGGAGCCTGGCGGGCTACAGTCCACGGAGTTGTAAAGAGTTGGACACAACTTAGCAACTAAACAACAACAACAAAGTATTGCATACTCAGAAGACTCCTTTATCACTTGATTTCTTCAAACCATGCTAAAATTTCTCAGTAAATAAATCTAGTTCTGTGCTAAGCATGGCCTTTCTCAAGATAACTTGAATACTGAGAACTAACACAATTTCGAGGGAATAAGTATAGTAGATGTACATAAAATAGATATATCCAATTTACACATTTTTTTGTGTAGCTATGTCATATCACACACACAAATTTTAACTCACATCTTTAAAAAAAAATTCTCCATTTCACTCATACTATTGTCCTAATTTATTGTTACTTTAAGCCACAGACCCTAACAGGTAAGCCTATGGTCAAACAGAAACACAGTTGACTACCTCTGGGTTTAAAGTTAGGAGTCATCAGGACAGATGTGACCAATTAAGAAGATAACGAAATTAAACAAATGGAGATTACTGTTAGCATCATTACCTAGACATGCTGGATTAGAGGAGGGGGCAAAAACTGTGGCCACGGTGGGATTCTGGTTACTAATTAATTACGCTCAAATCAAAGGTTGAATATCCAATTTATGAGAACCCATAGGCCTCCCCAACCTCCTCCCCTCCCCCAAGCATAGAACCCACCCAGAATGCCCCCTTGTGGTGGCAGGCAGACAAATAGGACAAAGTCCAGAAAGGCTTAGCTGAGCAATCCTCATTTCTTCTTTCCAATTCACTAGCGAGAGGAGTCACTCTTTCTCCCCTCAGGAGAGGCCAGGCTTACTCTGCGAGAAGATCCCGCATGGGTAGATAAGTCAAAAAGAAGTCAGGAACTATAGAGAGGGACCCAAAATGTAATCCCACTGTCACACTAATTGCCATCCAATCTGATAACTGGGCAGGCAAAACTTATGACTGTTTGAGAGGATGAAGGTAATTTGCTGAAAGTTGTATCACCCTGTAATAAAGTCACGCTTATCTACCCAAGACTGTAAATACTTAGACTGAAAAAAATGTCATAGTTCAGATGATAAATTACATGGCCTCCCTAATTACAGCCTAAAAGTGAAGTTTAATGGTATACACTACCTGGTTCTTAAAGAACATGACTAATGTTGATGTTACACTTTAACATGACATAGAGATTTCACCATATTTGAACAGACCTAAGGGGCATTATTTGACCTGAGGTATAACCAGCCACAAACATACTGAGTAACGTTATTTTAAATGCCGTATTTCACGGTGATGACTCAGATATTAGATGCTGACCACATTAAAACATTTGCTTTATTCATGAAATCAACATTAGAACATATTTATCTTATCTGAGCACTAAATTGCTTTTTTTTTTCTTCTCAGAGATTAGCCATAATTTTAGGTCTCTGCAAATCACCGTCCTCAGTCACTAGTAATTAAACCGTTAATGGCACTATGATAAATAGTAGGCTATTTTGATCATAAGGAGAAAAAAAAGTATCTCTGTCATATAATTAAGCATGAGAGAAAATAAGCTTTCATTAGGTTTAAGTTTGGCTCATTATTTTTATCTTTTGCCACCATCTCTTCCCTCTCCCATTCACATTCTTCACAGCAGTGGTATGTGCTGTGGCTGCAGCCTCTGATAAGCTCTGACTTGAGCAGAATGTTCTGGACAGGAGCTAGGGATAAAGGTGAAGCATTTACTTCCTCTGCTATGCAGGCAAATAGTTCAGTCTTGAGTGTGCTCTCCATTCCTTTCTTTGGTCTTTATTTAAAAGATACACACACACAAACACCTACTATATGCTTATTGTCACTCATATTGTATTTCTAATGAATTTTACAACATGACAGACAGGAAGCACATGATCTTAAATTTTTATATAAAGAATACCACGAATTAGTAGCTTTCGTATACCAGGAGAATTGGAAAAAATAGATGAAAGGGAACTACGTTGATGATTAATACTAAATCTTAGGTAAAATAAAAATCACTGACAGTCAATTCCAAATCTAACAGATGGCCCCATCTATTGGATAGATTGCCTCTCCAATCCCTTTCTTTCCTAACAATAGAACTCAAGTGTATTTACAGGAGGAGATACGCCCCTACTGCAGCCGCAAAGGACAAACTGCTCTGAGACAGGCATGGCTTTCTCATTCCCTTTGGCCAGTGATGGGTCAGGGAGGACAGGTGCCCAGCTCTGGCCATGAGACATTCTTGGAAGTCTCCCCAGCATTATTACTGGTGAAGCTCACACAAGGGGAGAGACTTGCTGACACAGCCCATTGACACCTCGCCCATCCACCTTTTGTCTTCCCCAGCCATAGGAAAACAGCAGGAACCAAGCCATCATAAGACAATAAACCACCATACCAATGATGGCAGAGCAGAAGGAAAGGAGCCTGAGAGACTGATAACATCAAGGCTGAAGCCCCTCCGTCCAGGATTCATCTCAAAAAAAATAGTCATCTATCTGTTAAGCCTCTGTGCTAGGATTTCTGTGTTCTGTGCAGCCATGTGCACTCACAACCAACACACAATCCAAAGTTGATGACTTAATGTCAATAAGATGCCCTAAATAATTTACTGTCTGCTGACCTCACCCATTAATCCCACAATGTCTCAACTACAGTTCGACTTAAATTAGTTGAGTGTGCTTCCTCTTCTTAGCCTAGTTTCTTTCACTTTAGTGTGAGACCAGCTAATGGCCGAAAGCGGAAGACAGATGTAGAAATGTTAGAGGGTATTTCCTTTTGCAAGCATTCTTAACCAGAAGGAGCTAGGAAGTCTTTTCACAAATGGAACCACATTGGCTAAATGCAATGAACCCTGGAAGACAGAACTGTGGCTCTAGCACTGTGTCTTAACTGAGGCGCTCAGAGCCAAGGCTGCTCTCCCAGGTTTCTTAACCCCATTGGAGCTTTCTCTGGAGGGGTAACCATGGAATCCCATGTTTTCAGCATCGGGAAGGGTTACCCACAATAAACAATGTTCACTTGCCTGGAAAATGTTCTTCCTGCTGCCACACAAATGAACACCCTAAAAAGGTTTGAATCAAAACACTGAGTCAGAGGCTTCTGGCAAATGCGGGCTCACTTGCTCTGCAGAGACTCTTTATCCTAATTTACAAGAAACATACAAAGGGTCCCTTTTAACCTACTATTTTTTATGACCACCCTACAAAAGGCTCCCAGATCCATGATGCTGCCTGCTCAGTGTAGTCAGTGGGTTTGATTTATTCAAGGAATTGATTAGATAGCTGAGTAACAGGACAAAATACCAAAGAGAGGATATCTGGGGAAATAAAAAGCATTACATGGCTAAGAGAAAAACAGAAAAGGCTGCCTCAGAGAACCAGGTGTCTTTCAAGATTGGGAAGTGAGCTATGCAGAGGGAAAACCCCATAGTATGGGCAGAGCACGTGCAAAGCAGAAACTAGGCAAGGCAAAAAAAATTTTTTTTTAATTTTTTTTAAATGCCTCATACTGATCCCCAAAATGAAGCCTGAAAAACTGATCTGAAAAACAGACATTTCTTTCTATGGAGAATTCTAAACAGTGCAAGCCTTCCAGGACTTATCACTAGGCCATTCTTACTTAACATTTTAATGAATTATCTGGCAGGGGCATGATACAGCGAAGTCTGCAGGTCTGCTGATGACCTCGCGCTCTTATGGAGAGGGAGACAGTAAACTGAAAGAGACGCACTGCAGAAGCTCTCAAAGGGCTGTGCGAGAGGACAGGCCACTACAGATTAGATCGTCCCTAGCAAGGGAAAATCACTCGGACTATTAAAAGAGGATGGGCCCTACGTGATCAGCTACAAGTCAGAAATTAGGACTGGAAATGGCTGAGGATGCTCTCCTTCCTGAGGCTGATCTAACAGCTCTCTGCAGCTCCCCTTAGTCCAAGAAACTGTAAATATCATCACAAAGCAGGCAGGAAACAGCATGCTTCCCTACTCATAATCACAGCCATCCACATCTGGACCTCTGTGCACAGTTCTCATTATTACATCCTGATAAAGATACATGAAAGCTCAAAGAGGTTCAGAGAGGAATGATCAGAATGATAACGAAGGGGATGCAGAGAGACTGTGCCATAAAGAGAAATCCATGAAACCAACCTTCTCATCTGGAAAAAGGAGCAGAGTGAGGGGCTACCAGCCAGGCGCTGGACTTGCCAGATCTAAACCTGAATCTTGTCCCCATCCCTGACTAGTCAGGTGGCCAAGGACAAGCTACTCAATGCCGGGTTTCACCACCTCTGAACTAAGGCTCACGGGGCCTTTGGCACTTAGCTCACTGTGGCATGAAATGCAGTATTGCAGTGGAGTGCCTGGCACATAACAGCAGAGAAAGGACATCGTGGCAGCCAAGGTTTGGGAGTCAGATAGACCTTGTTCCAAATCCCAGGTCAGTGTCACACCACCTGTGTGATTTCATCAAGAAAATGTGAGCCTGGGACTTCCTGGTGGTCCAGTGGTTAAGAATCAGCCTTGCAATGCAAGGGAGGCAGGTTCAATCCCTGGACAGGGAGCTAAGACCCCACATGCTATGGAGAAGCTAAGACTGCAAGCTGCAACCAGAGAGTCCATATGCTGCGATGAAAAATACCGCATGCTGCAACAAAGACACGATGCAGCTAAATAAATATAAATAAGAAAATGTGAGCCAGCTTCTTAAAGCTTCAAGATGTAGGACTCTACAAAGCAGGCAAACAGAAAACCAAATTCACATGGTGACAAGCTGCAAACAGATTGCCTTCAAACAAACAAAAAGGCTCAGGTAAACGAATAGATTTCCCCCTTGGGATATAAAGGATTATAAAACAAAACTAAAGTCCTTGAAGGTTTGTCTTTAAAATTGAGACTGGGGCAGAGACTGGTGGACTAAATTATATGTGAGCACAAACAGATGGACACTATCAGAGACATAATAGACTTGACTGGAACTCCAATCTAACTCAATTCGTCCTTTCTATATTTGTTTTTAGCTCTGTATTGATGCAATTTCAAATATACATTTTAGACCACCATCTAGTCATGCAGACAACACAACAAAGAAAAGAATTTCAAATTTAAGTTAATCTGCTCCATATGAAAACATTGATGACACCAAGTGTGAATGAACAAGTTATTACTTAATAATACTATTTAATTACATTTCTAAAAACAATAGAAATTTGATTCAGTCCAATCCCTGAAACTCTTCCAGAAAGGTTAAATTAAAATCTGATTTAAAAATGATTGTACAAACTCTTGATTCTTTTTTTTTTTTAGAAACAAAGAAAGTAATTGTTCAGACTGTGCACTGGTAAATGTAAAAATTTCAAAAATTGAACCAGTATTTTAATAAGTATGAAATTCTCTATGGAAACAAAATGTCAACATGTACACAGATATAAACTAGGCCACAGCAATATGATCTAAATATTTAAGTAGAACAGGCTATGCAATATAAATCTATCATAAACAGAAATTGCTCTCACATATTTGACTTCACCTACATTAGAGTGAAATACCATGGCTTTTGCTTTGTCAAAACAGTAAAGGCCATCGCCCCTCACTACAAGATTGGTTTTGAAGTCACTGAGAAATGCTCTTATCACCTACTAACTAAAGTTGTCACTTTAATAGTTTATATAACTTGATTCAGCCACTAATACACCTCAAGCAAAACAACACTGAAAGAGGTACTATCTCCAGAGTTATGGAACTTGAAGTTTTAAATGGTCACATTACTAATATTTGTGTAATACATAATAATAAAGCTAAGGTAAACTTTGCATGAAAGCTATAGGATAGATAACATGGCAAACTGGCCAAGAGACAGGGCTTCATGTTCAAGTCCTACTCCCCACTACTTAACTGTGTGATCCAGGCAAATTATTTAACCTCTCAGAGGGAGCCTTCTTTTCCCTCACCTCTAAAATGGGAAAACAAGAGAACCTACCTCACAAGCTGCATTACCTGGCACTTAGTCCTCAATAAATCTTAGCTGTTGTTGCTTTTACTATCACTGTTGTTGCTGTTATCATTTCATTATTATTATAGCTTACAAAGAAATTTTACATATAGTAGCTTGTGATGAATATTAAGAAACGGCACAAAGAAACACTCAATTTAAAATTTAATTACATTACATGTCAAGTATACAGGAAGGGTTCTGATGTCCACCATCCCGGCTCTTCTAACAAACCAGAAGGGAGCACAGAATCATCTATAAAATGTGATTGGACGGATACAAAATTAATTTATAGAGACAATCGTTAATAACAGCTAGCATCTCTTTACTCACAATGTTCCAGACAATTTACTAAACACTTCAAATGTGTTATTATTTCTTAATCTTAGTATTTTAAACACTTCCCTTGAGGAACTGTGTCCCGCCAACCTGCCCAGAGTTACTGTTAAACTACTCAGACAGGCAGATTTCAGAAAACACTGACTATATGGCCCAGGATTGACTTCCTCTGCAAATAAAAGTTTGTGAACTATTCTGATCATCTTGCTTAAGAACAACAACAGCAATAACCAGTTCTCTGCTCCCCTTTCTAGATAAGACAGGCACCTACTCACACTTCATGAGGCATCTTCTCTGTGTACCACCAATTCTCATATAACTGTTCTAGTGAGGATCATCTAAATTCTCGTCCCAAGAGAAGAACACATTTCCCTTGCTTCTACCATCCTAGTTTATGTATTTACTATAGATAAATAGGTAGACAGAAAATATATAGATTGTTGTTGTTCAGTCGCTAAATTGTGTCTGACTTTCTGTGACCCAATAGACTGCAGCACACCAGGCTCCTCTGTCCTCCACTATCTCCCAGAGTTTGCCCATATTACTTAATTCTGTGATTCCAGGATTCCCTCGATATACAACATAAACTGATCCCAGTTAACAAAAAAGTCACAACAAAAATGCTCCTTTCACTGATAGCATCATCCACATCCAGTTCAGAGTTCTCAACATGCAGTTCAGTAAACTGTGAATCCTAAATTGCTAACAAATGTTACATGCACATAGAAATATTCATGTTTCTGGTCTGGAAAACTACTGGATTCATCAGATTCCATAAAAGCTACTCAAAAATGCTAAAAACCATTCATTTAGATAGAGATCCTCTCAAAACAAATTACATCATTACATGAATTGTAAAAGTCTTTGTATTCTCAATGGAGTATGTTCAGAAATTTGATGCTTTATGATTTCATGCCAGAGTGACAGTGAAGTCCAAGAAGGCACAAGATTTTGGCTTAAGAACATAGAGACATGTCCCCACAGAAATCATCTGTCTAGGTGACCTTGGGAAAACCATCTAACATTTCTGGACTTAGTTCCATGATTTGGAAAATCACTGGGTTTTAAATAAATGATTTCAGGTTCTTCTCCTCAGCTCTCTGATTCAATGATATAATCTTGCCACATATGCAAGGCAAAACAGATAAAAATTCTTAAGCCACTTACATCACTAATGAGTTCAGTGCACCTTCTGGCCAATTCCATACTCAGGTCTTCAATAACAGGCTTAAAGAATACCTGGCCAGGGAAAAAGAAAAGGAGACATTTTTCTCATCATCAACTTTAAGGAATAAACACCACGACTCAGCAAGTGCTGTGTCACCCACCTTATCTTCTTCATCTTCTTCTTCCCCTGTTTTTTCTTCTTCAGTTTCATCTTTCACATCCTCAAATACAGGAACCCTCATTTTTACTCTTTATATATATATATATATATATATGTATGTATGTATGTATTAAATTCACAAGTGCAGCACCTTTTTATATACTGCAGCACCCTTGAGATCTTGGCATCTCTGTGTTCTGGCAGAAATGACCTTGCCCAGGCCTCCTCCCTATTTAGCTCACTCTTCACCCTCCTTATCACAGCTGTGTGTGAGTGGATAGAACCTGATCACTGAGGTTGGCAAGGACTAGCCTCATAAGAGGAAAGAATATTTTAATAGGCAAAATTCAATTTTGTGAACTTTTCAAGTCAACATTCTTTAAACTGAGACCAGTTTATTAACATTTCATGAATTCAATTCATTCATAAAATGGTTTGAGCAAGACTTAGAGATTCTGGGAAAACCACTCAGCTATAACACTCAAGATAACACAGTGTAAAGCCTACTATCTCAAAGATTCCTCAACTCCATCTAAATAAAGCTTTCACTGGAATGTCAGACATACCCCAGAGTTGGTATGGTGACTCTGGATCATTAAACTCATTTCATTAAGTTAAATTAAAATTTTTATGAGACATATATATACTTCTTCAGTCTAAAAAAATACTTTATATTAGCTGATTAAAGTCTAATAATTTATCATGGAAAGCCCTTTGAACCACTTCGAAAAATCTATTCTGAGTTAATTATGGTTGTTAATCATACATTGCTATTGTATTATTTTAATTGTAAACATCATTAAACATGAGAAGCTATAGTTAACATAGGCTGATATATTATTTAAGAATTCTAGAAACATCATCATTTCAAAAAATAATAATTACCCTCTTTTAATTCTGCCCATTGGGTCAATTTTTACAAATTTCACTAGATATTTGTATATTTCTCAATGTGTAATACATGCTTGGAAAGATTTAGAAGAATAAACTATAACAATATTTACAATGCAGTATGTATTACCAGTTATATAATTTAAAATGTATTTCTCAAAACAAATCCTTTAATATCAACTGAGGTAGTTCTAAGACTATACAGTTCAATTTATCAATTTGGTTTTTTAAATCCTAGGACAAATTAATTTTATAAAGCCATAGCATATCAGTGTGGGACAAAATAAAAAGTACCTTATGGTGAATAATGAAACAAATGATATAAAACATAACTTTAATCAAAAAATACATTCCAAGCAGAGAAGTATAATAATGTTTTCTCTTAATAGTGTATCTAGTTTTGTTTTTTTTTCCATTTTTGGAGTATAATTGCTTCACAATGTTGTGTTAGTATCATATTTAGTTTTAAATTTTTTAAACTGCCTTGGCCTTGCCTAAAAATTCTGAAAAGAAAAAAATTCTATACAATCATCATATACAGATGTCTCAAATTGTGTTGTATGAGGCTAAAATTCTGCAGAATACTCTGAAGGGGAAAGGGCGGTTTCTTAAATAAACATGCCTGGGGAAACCTGTATGCTAATCTATACCCCTGCCACTTAGAGATCCACAAGGCATAATGACACATTAGAAGCTCCCACACCACACCTTAGAAGACCCACAACCAAGAAAACTACTTAAGTTTGCTTAACCCAGCAATTCCCCAAAACAAAAGCCTATTCATCTAAACTAATCTAACCTATCTACTACCTACTTACATACCTACCTACCTATCTGTTCTTTCATTGACATTTGATACTGCAGAAAACTAACATTCTTCTGTGAAATATTACTTAGGGAAATATTGTTTTATTCTGAAAAAATGGTTGTGTTCTATTAAGAGTTGTTGATCATTTTATGAAATGACTTTTAATGCAAACTTAGTGGCATTACATAACCTGCTTACCAGCAAAATATAAGAAGAAATGCCCCAAGGGTTCTGAAACTGGAAACTAACTTTAAAATCATAGTCATGGGAACTTCCCTGGTGGTCCAGTGGTTAAGACTCCATGCTTCCAATGTAAGGGGTGACGGTTCAATCCTTGGTTAGGGAACTAAGATCCCAAATGTTGTATGGTGTGGTCAAGAAAATATAAAAATAAAATCATAGTTATGTCATGCCAGTGTAGAGAATTCTCTGAGGAAATTCTCTGTATGCTAAATTTGTTCCATAAACGAAGAGAATGTGTGGACTCTACTTGTTTCCCTTAAGCCCTCTGCCAAAAGACTATTATTCTATAGAAAATATATTACATTATCTTTATTTGGAAATAGGAAAAGCATATTTTTTATAAGCTTTTCTTGCAAACTTCTAGAAGCATAGGAAGAAAATCTTCCCAAAGCTGCCTAAGATGCATTGCCTGGCTAGTGTTTGAGGTGACAATACTTGCAAAGCTCATGGGGACATCTCTCTATGGTGAATTACCTTGGTCAGACTTCAGTGGCTGCTATTTTCTCATTTTCCATCATACAACAAATTCTTACTGTCTCTCCACTGTGCTGGAAGAAAATAATCTGTTGAGATTATGCACAAAAGTTTTGAAAGCAGAAACAAATGCCATATACTATGTGAACACAAATTTTCCATGTAAGATTTTAAAATCAGAATTTTAAACCTATAAGGGTCCTTAAGAAGTCTATCCTGCTAAAGCCCTCTCTTTCATACAGAACAAAATTGATGTCAACAGAAATTAATTATTTGTCTTATTCACAAAGTTACCTAGTGGAGAATTAGGACCAAAATTTAACTAGAGCCCATGTTCATTCATTCAAATAAATAAGGTTATTCTAGGCACTGAATTTGATTTTAAACATGCAATGGTGAGTAAAATTTAATTTGTGCTAAAATGAGGTAGGAAATTTTTTTTTTTTAATAATTTAAGACTTGCTGTAGGAACTCCTTAATGGAATGTTTGGCGAGGTAGATACATTACTACTTTTGATTGAATGCATTTTTTTCCTTTTTACCTGTAGGTATAATATAAAATTCATGTAAAATTTTCTGTTAAATATTTTAAGCCCTGAACTGCATCACAGTAAAGGTCTCTTAATAGCTCCAAAATGGGACTTTGGGAATATGAAGGAAGTGTTCTTCATGGATAGCTATCATGTTTCAAAATTTCCCGATTTTCTTTTTTTTTTTTCCCTTAAACCATGCTAAATGCTGTATTTTAATACATATTTTCACCTTAGGCTGAGCCAAAAGGCAATATCTGCATAGCTGTTGAGCCCTTTAACTTACCTTGCCCTGACTGAGGATGAGACCAAGGATGGGATCACATTATCTACAGCCAAACACCCCCTGAGATGCAGATGTGGCTCTCCCACATCCTCTAGGGAAAATGATTTAATCCCTCTCTGGCTCAGAGTCTCCATCATTAAGCAGAAAAACTGAATTGCCCAAAGTTAATAAAAGGAAAGCACCTAAAAATAGGAAAGCCCCTTACAACCGTTTTCAACTATCGAATAAAGGTACACAGTTCCAGGAAAAGAACTTGATATCAAAAGATCGTCTCATTTGAAAGAGTAAATTCTAAACCTTCAATATGGTTTTAAAGGCCAGGAAGTCTTCATGAAGCATAACAACCCAAAGGCAAGAGTTAGCTTGTGTATTTGGAGTACAGAAGTCTTCCATATTTTTATAGTTTGATGTTTATGTATAAGCAAATCTATTTCTATAACAACTGACAGGTCCCAGGGGTAATTCAGGTCTCTGGAGACACAGACCCTGGCCAAGGAAGCAAGTCTACACCATCATCACAAATCATGCAGTGTCTGACTGTCTTGTTGTTCTTAAAGTCACATACAATAAGCATCTCTTGAATTTTGAAAAGTGTTTCATATTTACTTCACTTTTTTTCTCCTTTCTGTGGTTTTTTTCTCCTTCATGCTGATGAGTGACTTGCAAATTAAATTCCATAATAAACAACTGAAATAGATTGAGATTCAGCTCTCTGTTCCGAGGGATATTTAGAGATAAACTGAATATTTCCAGTTTAAAAATTAATTCAACATGTCTTATTATAACACATTCCCCCTAAATGGTAGATGAGAGAGAAGTTTGCCTGCCTTGGCAGTCTTTTCAAGTACTCATTTTGCCTTTTTTCTTTTTTTTTTTTAAATGACTATCTATCCCCAGAAGGTTCTTACTTCTCTGTTGAATCCCTGATTATTTTACTTTTGCCTTATGTGTTTCTTCATCGTTTGGCATCTATCTAAAAGAGAACTTTACCAATAGATGAGGGGGAGAAATTGTTTCTTAAAACAAGAAATATAAGGTTTCTAGGGCAGTTTGTCTTCTTTACAAAAAGTAGAGTCCTGTTTATTATTAGCCCAATCTATTTTTACAGTTAACACTCATTAAGTATATCCTCTCTTTTTAATGGCTATTTCATTACTGTTTGTTAATTAGAAATCTAAAGGATGCAAAGCAACTGAATAATTGTCACCATTACCAATTTTGCCATTAAAATAAGATTTTTTTAAAAACTTTATTTTATATTGGAGTATAACTGATTAATGAGGCTTCTCTGGTGGCTCAGTGGTAAAGAATCCCTCTGCCCATGCAGGAGACGAATGCTCAATCCCTGAGTTGGGAAGATCCCCTGGAGAAGGAAATGACAATCCACTCCAGTACTCTTGCCTGGAAAATCCATGGACAGAGGAGCCTGGTGGGCTACAGTCCCTGGGGGTCACAAAGAGTCAGACAGGACTCAGTGACTAAACAGCAACAATAACACAGCCAATAAACAACACTGTGATAGTTGCAGGTGCAAAGCAGAGAGACTCAGCCAGCTCCTATCCATGCTGCCACATAACTGAGATCGACATGCAGACACTTCTATGTTTAAAACAGATAACCAACAAGGACCTACTGGACAGCACAGGGAACTCTGCTAAAATAAGATTTAATAGTGTTTTTCTGTATTCAACTTCCTATGTTTACAAATACAGATCCTACTCACAAATGAAAGCCACACATCTGCACTTGTGTTGGAGAAAGAGAAGAACAAGAAACCACAAATAATCTTTGGCACAATAATTTGCAGGCTGGGGACGGTTGGGATGCCAAAATTTTAAATATCTGTTCTT